ACACACACACACACACACACATAGAAGGACGAAATGTAAATCTATAGCATAATAATTTAACAGTATAAGTAAGTGAATAAATAGATAAATTCAGTTTGCGATGAAAAAGGCTATTTTTTACATTTCTACATTTATTCAGTATTACATGAATTTATTTCCAAAACGATCACAGCGGCCATGTCTGCTGGGAACAACACAGCGAATAACGGAACCTCTAAGCCAATCACATCGCACCGCGGTGGCCTCCCCAGCCAATCACTGCGCCGCTCTCTTAAACCGTCGCCTCACCAGCAGCAGCAAGAACCATCAGCTAGCTTCTTTTAGCATCTTTAGCTAACCCCCGGGCACACAGGCGCATCTGTCCGCTCTCTGTCTCGGTGATGTGTGTCGCTTGATTTCTACGGAAGTTGACGGTGTGAGCGACTGAAGCGAAGCTGCGGTGTGAAGGTAAAGACTCGTGTTCACGTGTCGTGTCCGCTGCAGCGAGGTAAACGTCGCGGGAGGGAGAGAGGGAGGGAGGGGAGGAATCAGAACGCGTTGTTGACGTTAGCATGGTTAGCTAACAGAGGCTAAGGAAACTTTGCGTAAAAGCCTCCTGCGCGTAAAATAAACCTCAGCGTGAAATAAATGTGTTAGCACGGCTAGCTCCTGTTGTCATCGTGGATAATATACGCGTGCACGTGCTAGGCTTTTTTCCCCATGTTCCTTATTCGCACTGAAACTTTATGCACATGGAAATAAATGTTTGTTAGTGACTCACCACGGACGCATCTGTTTCCTTTAACCTCCTGTTAATGTAAAGAACATTGTCACGCTATTGGTTGTCTGTCTCTGATCTTTTTGCTCATTCCACACACAATAAAACAAAATATATATGAATGTGTAAACAAGATCATTCATCTATTTGAGTTGATAATGAATTCAAATCATTCTCAACCAAGAACATTTTCTGCTGAGCATCCCTCCCGACTTATTTCTGTGAAGTCCACTAAACCAGATAAGTGCACTCACAATTCTGATAGAGAAAATAAAGGTAAAATGTAATAAAAGCAGTGTGTGGAGTTCTGTCACTGTTCTGTCATCTTCTAGCAAACCTGTCTGGTTTCAGCTGCAGCCTCGCTGAAATATTCCCCATAAAAAGACCCTCTTGTCTGTGTCTTCAATGCATTATGTTGTGGATGTTACCAGGAGACTGCAATCATTTGCCATTAAAATTAGAATTTTCTGTAAGTAACTTCAATCAGGTCTTCAGGTCAATTAAACAGAATGTAGCTAATGTAATCTTATATCTGTCTCATTTCAAATCCACCATGAATTGACCTCCTCCCTCCCTCCCTCAGATGCAGTTCATGCTGCTGTTCAGTCGGCAGGGAAAGCTGCGCCTACAGAAATGGTACGTGCCTCTGTCGGACAAAGAGAGGAAGAAGATCTCCAGGGACCTGGTGCAGACCATACTGGCCAGGAAACCCAAGATGTGCAGCTTCTTGGAGTGGAGGGACCTCAAGATTGTGTACAAGAGGTAAAGGAATAAGAGATGTTGAAGAATTGGGTCGTGGAACTCTTACAGTGCCTCGCTTTGCTTATTTCAGTCTATACAGTATTCCTAACAGTTACAGTCCAAGTATGGAACATGATGAAGACTGTGAGATGTGGTTGAAAGCCCTGGTTTAAAAAAAAGGTAAAGTAGTAGAAGTAGCAAGTAGTTCTTTAGTTTACTAAACCTTGAAATATTTGACAGACATTTGACTTTGGGGTTTAAAAATCCGTGTTAGGTATTTCAGAAAATGCTGTATTACTGTTTGGTTGGTCACATCACTTCAATGTCTCTGGTGATTCACTGATTGTTTTTCAGGCACTGAGTTTTCTGGCATTTAGCTCGAACCTTCTGGTGTGTTATGATATTCAGAATTACTTCTTCTCTACTAATAACTGCCAAACAGTTAAGGGCTGTAGTACAAATATGCCTTAAAATGAATAAATAAGTCTTAAAGCAACATGTGATTAAAATATTTATTCATCACCAAATACTTACAGTTTCTTTAATCACATCATCACCAATGTTCATCTGTTGCTTTCTTGCTGTTGCAGATATGCAAGCCTGTATTTCTGCTGTGCAGTCGAGGATCAGGATAACGAGCTGATCACGTTGGAAATCATCCACAGATACGTGGAGCTGCTGGACAAATACTTTGGCAGTGTGAGTGTCACACGTGTAATACGCTTATTGATGACGTGGGGAGGGGGAAACAAACAGACCAGAGGAACCTAAGGTTTTTCCGTCAGGACGGTGTCTGATCATCTGCTCTGTTGTGACCAAACAGGTGTGTGAGCTGGATATCATCTTCAACTTTGAGAAGGCCTACTTCATCCTGGATGAGTTCCTGCTGGGTGGAGAGGCCCAGGAGACGTCCAAGAAGAACGTGTTGAAGGCCATTGAGCAGGCCGACCTGCTGCAGGAGGTACGCACGCTTCTTCATCAACAGATAGATAGTGTCAGGTCAGCAGCACTTGGGGAAGAGTGACAACTAATGATTATTTCCCCTTTCCGTTAACCTGTCAAAGATGTTCTCGATTTCTCGATTGAAGACATTGGTCTGTAAAATGTCAAACAAAACCTTTTCCAGCACAATTAGTGGCTATAAGAAGGTTTTTAAAAGCTGTTGTAGCCAAAAAAGGTTATTGGCTCCTTTTCCGTTGCCATTAAAGGAGTTTGTCGTTAAGTTTTTATTTTTAACATCAAAAACTTGCTGTGCTCTCTCTCTCACCTCGCTGTCTTGCCAAATGATCACATTCACCTGGTTGTCATGTTTCCATCACAGCCAGACCTGTGTCTACTGCAGAGTAATTTGACCCGGGAGTGAATGCTGATTGTATCCATTCCCACTGCAGAGAAAAGCCTGATGTTAGTGGTATTTTTGACCAGTGGAAAAGGGGCTATAGTTGTTTTAGTACAAGTTTCAGTGCTAAGTCTTTAGTTTTAAAGAACTTGTTCTGCTCAGCCAACAGCCCAAACCACAAGGATATTAATTTTACTGTAATCTAAGACAAAACAAACTGAATTCAGCTCATACGTTGCATATTTTCTTAAGTAATTATTCACACGACTCATCAGTTATGAGACTTAAATTTCCTGTCACTGGATTAATCATTTCAGCTGACTTGGTGAATCACCCTCTCTCTCTCATGCTCAGTCATGTCAAACCAGATAGAAGAGTAGAACTAACATTTTGTTTTTTTCTTTCACCTCGTGGCCATCTGCACATGCCTTCAACTGTTTATTTTAAACCCGCAGTGCTTGATTAATGCCGCCATGTTGTGCCACTGCACCACAGCAAATGCTGTCCTGAGGGTTTGCATTGCTGCCGGGCTGAAGTCATTTTCAGTCGACAGAATCGGTGCACAGTGATTTATTTTTAGCAAAGCATGCAGCACTGTTGTTGTAACAGCACAACTGAACAGGCTTGTAACAGGTTCAACTCATTGGAAAGGCCTCCTGTTCTTTTTAGACATTTAGTGACATGCAGGGACTGTTAATTCTAGTTTGCAGCTGCATTATTTTCTACAGAACGTGTGACTGATGTTCAAGCTAACAACAAGAACCCTTTTCCTTTTTTCTGCAGGAGGCCGAGGCGCCACGGAGCGTTTTAGAGGAGATTGGGCTGACATAAATCACCCCTCTGCTGCCTCGCCGTTCCTTCTACCAATTCAGATCTGGCGACCTCCACGACTCCCCCCGTCTTCTCCTGGTCACTGTGTTGGTGTTGTATGTATATAATCACCATCGCTGTACTGTACTATCCTGTAATGTCCTTTCAATGTGGTGCCAACTGTGCTTTTGATGTGTCCTTATGTACAAGTTCCCTCGCTGTGCTATTATCGTACGTCACTCCCGCAACTTCTTCAAAATGCCACAGAGAACAATGTAGCAACAACATGAAATCTCCATGAGGATCATCCATCATCACAGATTGAAGGGTTGGTTGTGCTGTTTGGCTTCAGGAATTTTTTAAGGTGCTGTTGAAGCTGTAGTATGTTCGAGTCACAGAGCATAGCATCTGATTTCAGGAAAGAATAAATACTGAGACATGGAAATTTGATTTTTTTTCACAATTCTCAACTCTTCCAAACATATAGATGAAATACTTTTCTATAAAATAATAAATGTTAAATTTGGTTCCTCTACAAATTGAGCAAGGAGATATGTCGTATGCCTTTCAGACTTGGGTGCTCACATCCGCCCTGAGTGATCCAGTCACTAGTGGTCAGCGCTAAATACAGGTCTGAATGCACCCGAATGTGTCCTCACTGCATCCTGAGATCTAAGCACAGACCACATTCTCAGGTTGTCTGCTTAGCGCTGTACACTCGTGATCTCTGGGCAGATATTAATACCAGGTCTGAACAGAGCCCAGAAACAACTTCTGGACAACAGCAACAAGTGTTGTGAAATTATCTCCTTGGGTTTACTTTTTTAAAAGATTGGGAATTAATTTTTTGGAAGATCTGTTGCTCAGCTCTGTGGCTCAAATATAAAGGTATAACTATTAGCTTGGGCTAATGTTGGAAACACTGACACTGTTACAATCACTTCTATGTGGGTAAATTCAGCCCAGCAGAGAAATTAAAAAGAATTACCTACAATCAGTATCAGGTTTGTACAAATTTGTTTGGCGATTCCTCTCCAGAAAGAAACCATGACCTTTTAATGATGCATGTTTACTTTAACCAACCAGCTGTTTGTATTTAGTGTAAAACTGTTATTTCATCTTTGCATTTTTCTGACAATGACATTTCTTTCAGATTGAAGTTTGTAACGGTCTCTTAAGATAAATCTTAGGTCGGTCTCTCCCTTAGTCCAAGGTCAGGATAGCATAGTGACCAAATAAAAGAAATGCTATTTCATGTATTGTGATGACAGGTTGGCTTACTCTGAAAGAATTAACATATGACCAAAGAACACTGTGTTTTACCTTCTCAATGGTGTCTAATGTGGCAGAAAAGGGATTTACGATGGGAGGATGTATGGGTTATTTGGCTATATGACTATATATACAAACACACACCAGTATTATGTTATTATTACAGTCCTTTTAAAGACAGGTGTATCCTCGGTGTCCTTATGGATCAGGAACGTGGAATGATGAACTGCACATATCAGGGTACATCAATAATATTCATCACTGACGGCTTATTTAAGTCAACAAGTTCGAAACAGACGCTCATCCCAAAATGTTATGGCAGTCCAGTGTTTTTTTTAATCTGCACTCTTTAAACCACAAAGTGTTTCTGTTGAGCAAATATTAAAGACGTTTCTTTGATTTGTGCAAAAGAAATCTATTACTTTTCTATCAAACACTGCCGACACATTTCTTATGTTTGAAAGTTATTATCAATAAATGTATTGAGAAAGAAAAAATGTGTTGATGTTTTCTTGTGATGTTTTCACTCCATGTAGTTCCACAGGTTCAGTTCAAAGCACCATTAACTTACTGCGTCACCACTCACATTTATTCCTTCCTATACACACAGAGTTCTGATTAAAATCAAGAAGCCGTTCATGTCACTGTTTCCAGCAGATCCACTGGTGTGTCTGTTTTAGACTCAGGACTACGCTCCTCAGTGTCGACGCTCACATCTACGTCACAGTTTTTAGGAATTAGCTCTGTTTCATTCGTCTGTTCACTGGGACTCGTAGCAGAATTGTTCTCCATCTCTTCCTCAGACTCTTTCTCCTTTTCCGAATTTCCTGAGGATGTGGTTCCTTCAGGCAAATGGTTTTTCTTCTTGTGCTTCTTCTTGCTCTTCTTCTTGCTCTTCTTCGAGTGTTTGCGGCGAGAGTGTGTGTCTGTATCATCATTAGATCTTTTCTTATGTTTCCCTGGTTTCTTGGGGCTCCTTTCTCTGGTTAGCTTGTTTCTTTCCCTCTCTGTGCTTGTGCTTCTTGACCTTTTGTATTCATCTCCATCTCTTCTGTCTCCGTCTTCACTTTTATTCCTGTACGTGTGTTCCCAGTCTTTGTCTCTACTTCTGTTTCTCAGCCTGTCATGCTCTCTATCTCTACTTCTACTCCTCGCTCTCTCTCTACTTCTACTCCTCGCTCTCTCTCTACTTCTAGTCCTCGCTCTCTCTCTACTTCTACTCCTCGCTCTGTCTCTACTTCTGCTTCTACTTCTCAAATACCTATCTGTCCTCCTGTCACTGTGTCTGGATCTGGACCACTGGTCGTCTTTGTCCTGGTGGGAGGCCCTCCTCTCTTGACTCCTGCTCCTCTGCCTGCTGTCCTCTCGCCTGCTGTGGGATCTCTCTGACCTCGGTGGGCTTCTGCTGCAGCGGCGCTGCCTCCACGATCGGTCTCCGTATCGTTCTGAACGCCAACCGTCTCTGCGACTCCCCCTGACACTACGGTCTGGTGACAAGTGCTGATCTCTGTCGGCCTCCCAGAATTCATTGCCAGGATTTCGAAATACATGCAAGAAGTTGCAGTGCTTCCCTTTGGGGCACCTCTGTCTGTCAAACAATCCTGAGACACGAAAAACCAACATGAGCAGGACAGTTAATATGCTGAGCTGATTCTTGTAATGTCACCAAGTGAAATCTAAAATCTAACATCCTTATGAACAAATTACTCACCACATATAGCATTCTTCCACCGCGTAACAGGACACATCTCACAATGAAGCTGTCGGCCTGCGTACCACCTCCCATTGAACTTGATGAAGGCTTCTGTACACTGCTCCTCTCTAAACAGACAAGAGGACAAGAGTTTAAAAAAAATCTCAAAAAATCAAAACAATGTAAAGTTAATTTATTGTGAAAAACTCACAGTGATTCTGTGACAACTTACGTATCAAACTGAATGTAAACGTTTCCTCTCAGGTGTGGTTCATGATTACAGCTGACCTATAAATAAGAAAATGTATTAATAGAAAAGAAATGGTATCGGATTGATTCTCGGTATCAGCTATTATGCAAAGTCCAGTTATCTGTATCAGGAAAGTAAAATAGTATCGGAATATATCAGAGCTTATTTTAGGCTTTTTGCAAAGGTTTCAGCAAATTACATATTTTAGTGTTGATTTATGATATAAAAAGAAGTAAATACAACCCCTCAACAAACAAGGTTTTTTAGTTCTTTAAATAGTGACAGTGTCTACATTTTTTTGAGAAATAATCTTTTTTCTTTGTTTCATTTAACAAATCAACAAAATATGTAATAACAATTTCTGAGTTTTACAAAAAGTCAAATATTCTATAGCTGTGTAAACTAAGTTATTCAGACTTCTCATTTCTATTCAGATTTTGAATCTAATTATGCCAAGTACAAACATGCATCACTTTGTCTGACTGTGCTGATCTCCTCGTCTCTTTACCTTGAACTGAACCACTTTGCCGACACTCTTGAATTCTGGCAGAACATCATGGTAGAACTCAACGAAAGATTCATGCAGGTCCTCCTCGCTGTGCTCCAAACAGGCATCGATGTCGTAATCATCACGATGTGACTCCTCCATGCCGAACGTTTTAAACATACTGCGGATCATCAGAGTTGGGCTGGAGGTGGGATAACTGTGCTTCCGAGAACATCTGGGATCATAGAAGCAGCAGAGTGGACAATGTATAAGGAGGAGGTATAAGTCTCTGCACATACATTCAAACATCACTCAAACAGCAGATCTATGGATTCAATGTAGCAAGAACCTGTTTCCGAATCGACACGCTCCGGTCTTAAGGAAGAACGGACAGTTGGCCACATCGAGTTCTGTTCCAAAGTTCTCCGTTTTTTCTGTCACTGGAGCCTCAGGATTCATCCACGGTCCCCCATTGTCGAGCTGGAAGTGAGAACACCAACAAAAAGTTGTATCTATACTTATTTAAAAAGTATTTACGCTCTATAGTTTGACTTAAAACTAGAAGGAGATGTTGATTGGAATGAGATTTCATGTAGCATGAGCCCTAAAAATGTATTAAAATTATATTCCATTATATATAGAATACACTACTACAAACCCTGGACATGTTAATTATAGTAATATAAAGATTTAACTTTATAACATTTTACCCTATGCATCATATAAAATGTGAGGAAGTCAAATATATAGTTATTTCTGTAATCAATATCATTTGTGTCTTTGTACCTGATTTTCAGCTTCATCCAACATTTTCTGAACAGCCTCCTACAAATGGTGTAAAGACACGGCTGGTGAAAATGTGTAGAGGTCAACAATCTGCAGAATATCTGTTTTAGTGGGTTAAGACCACATTCACAAGGACTCATAGGCACAAAACTGAAATGGCATTTAAGAGAGAGGTTTCTGGATCTTTGTCACACAAAGTAAAAGATACGTCCTTTCTGTGAGAGCTGAAGGTGCTGTATGTTAAGGAGTACGATCGTTTCTTGTGCCACTCGGTCAAGGAAAACAATTTAAACAAACCATCCATGAGGCAAAAATAACACTTCACAAAGGAACCACTCGGCTGGTGAGACCGTATAAGTATTGTATACTTCACTTGTAGATGGACAGTGTAAATACTCGTGATTATGTAGAAGAGGATATATTTCTTTTAGTTTCTATCCTCCCGGGGTCCGTGTCACCTCTTTGTCTCGTTTCTCCTGCTGTTTCTGCTCAGTTGCTTCTTGTTCTCTCCTCTGCTGGGCCTCCCATTCCTCCTTTATCATCCGCTGTGAATAAAAAAAGACATAAAGCCAGTGAATATGAAAATGTTATCCAGAATTATCAGTCATCACCAGAGCAACAAGTGATGGCAGCAATCCCCTGTGTCAGGCTTCAAACATTCTGCAACAAACTAGTTTTTCATATTGCACATGTTCTCTGTGATGTAAACAAACAGTAGTTTACCTCCTCCTCCTCTTTTCTTCTCCTTGCAGCTTCTTCTTTCTCAGACTTAAGCCTGAATTCCTCCTGAGCAAGTCTTTCTCTTTCCAACCACTCCTCGTGCAGCCGCAGTCTGAGAAAACGACGAGTCAAACACAATGAAGATTAATAAAGCCTGCGCAACCACTCTGTGCTGGACTGCAGAGTGACATTAGTACTGACATACTTTTCCTCATCCGCAATATCATTATCGTCATCTTCTTCATCATTGAGTTCTTCTTCCTCAGGAATACAGCTTCCTCCGTTTTTTAAACCTAAAACAGTGTTGTTAATAAAACTGTCAGATGGTGCCGCTACAACTGTAGAAGTGACGGCTCATGACACACACTACATACCACTGTCTCTGGCCTGGGCGAGAGCCTGACGTTTCCGTTTCCTTCTCTCTTTCCTCTGAGCAGCTTTGCGTTGCTTTTGACTAGAATGGGGGAAAAATGAAGATGACACATGAATCTGTGTCCCCTCAGCAGATTATTTAACACACAGGGAGGTCCAACAGTCTTTTGTCTGATAGTATTGATCATATACATACCCTGAAAAATAAGAATCAGCTACAGGGTATTGTAAATATGTGCAGCAAAATGACTGAGACGACCCTAAATAACCTTTGTCGTCTCTAACAGGTCAAGATTTTAAAGACAGTGTGAAACTATATTAATTTTCTGGCTGTAGAAACAATCTGCTGAGATGCAAAACAAATAATCAAACAAAAAAACAAAAATAATTTTCCCCTGCTGAATTTGTAATAACTCATTGTGCTGCATGTGTATTTGTGGGTGTATATGTTGTTATATGTGGTTACTGTTGGCTGTAAAACTAAATGACCCTCTGAGATAATAAAGATACGTCGAACAAATAGAAATCCAAAAACTCAAATATATTCTACTTACAATCACAGACAACTAGTAGCTTTAGGATTATTTTGGTTTAAAATGATACTAAATCGATCAACCGATAAACGAAACGAGAGCCGAATGATTGTGTGGCGATCGACTAATCGGATAATCGATCTTTGAATGTGCGAAGTGTTCACGTGGATATATGATCCAAAAATATCCAAAATGTTGGATGTACTTCTGAGCTCTCACCGAAACTTACGCTAAAACATCGACGGTAGCAAACATTTGACGTTAAGCTTAACAAACGCAGTGCTGGCAGCTCCAGTGACATTGTGGCAGCTATTAAAACACAATCAAGACATGAATCAATTAAATCTAAAGACAGACACGGACCTGAACACAGGAGCAGAGAGCACTGGAGGAGTGGAGGCTGCCATCACCGCTAACAGCAGCTAGCTGGTTAGCAACACAACGTGTTTCAGTGGCTTGTTTCTTCTCATTAGAGTTTAGTTAAAAACAACGTTGGAGCAGATGATCACTGATTGAGATGAGTTGTATCCGAATCAGATCTGGTTTGTTAATATACGATATAAGTGAATAAATCCAGGTCTTTGTTGTAAACTTCAGTTGATTGTGTTAGCTGTGTTATTTAGCTCATGAGTGACACAGGAAGAGGCGGGGTCCAAACAAAGTACTTCCGGTTCAGCTCCACCCGTCATGATTTCTGTCTCCTGAACATAGACTGTATATAAAGATCCTGAAGAAATATTTGTATTTGTGAATATGATATAATATCTTATCATTATTATTATTATTATTATTATTATTAACTGCTGTTTCTATTGCCTTTAAATGAACAGTGTCCCTGTAAAACTAAATTAAATTAAAGTTACCTTTACTGATGATTAGCACGATCAGGAATAGCTTCAATAAACCTTCCCATAGAGCTAACAATAGGTTATCATATCCCATACATAACCACAAAATGCAACAAAATAAGATCACATATATATATATGACAGTGACATCATTTAAATGGCTTGAAATCTTCTGTGTGACACTTGCAGGTGCTTGAACACACAAACAAACGTTTTTTTAATTTATTTTTCACATTTTCAAAATACGCAGTGGAACGTGAATACCAGATGATGGACACTCTGCCGACACCTGAGTATTTGTCATGTTTCCAATACCGCCTACTCATTGAGCCTACAGGTGGCTGCTCCTTGCCCAAAAACAGCAACTGCTAATAACTGCAAAAACAGTGTGGAACTTTGAAAGTTCTTGCAAATCTTTTATTTAGACATCCTTGACATCCCTGACACTCTCACACCCTGGTCAATCCCTTTTCTTCTCTGGTATTGGCCTGAGAAAGAAGGCCGGCCTGGTGCAGCAGCGGTAGCACAGAGCCTGAGGCACCAGAGCGTACAGGACGTTGATCAGCAAGAAGAATGGCTGGCTGTCAGCAGGCACTCTGTAGGAGAACGGCGTCCGTGTGTGAAGAGACGCTCCAATATGAGAGAATTGAGCCTGTTAGGTAAAGACAAGCAGAGAGAGGAAAACTGTAAAATGACTTAAAGCTTTACAGTTACTATATGAACGCTGACAACATTTTTTTCTGTATCATAAAGGTTTCATACATTTTAAATGAATGATGACAAGTACAAAATCACAAGGTCACACTAATGACAGGAAGAAAACGACTCCTCTCTTGTTATGCACAACATTTTTAATAACCATATAACCATTGATTTTTAAACAAAACCTCACCCTCATTTACTATATGATCCTGTTTCAATGAAAGAAAACACTTAATCTCTGACCAGTTGTTTGATTTCACTACAATGTGATGGTAAGTATAATTCTTTTCCCATATTGATAATTTCCCATGTGTAAAATGTTTTGTGTCATGTAGATTCATTTCATTATAGCATTTGTGGAGTTTGTTATATTCGTCTATTTAACAGGACAGTTTCTTTCTGTTTTAGTTTTCAAAAACAGCTCACAGCTCTGAAACTCCAAAGAAAATATCGAATTCCAAATCCCGGGTGCTTTCTGGATAAAAATCTAATTCCTTGTAGTGAAGTTAAAAATATCTTGACAAGACATCACATGGTTTATAGTCAACATAAAGAGGAAATGGTCTTTTAATGGTCTGGACAAATTCTGGTAAGGCCCTCATCCTCAAATAATTTCCATTTTCAGTTAAAATTTTGATTAATAAAAAAAAAAGTCACTGAAAATAGACTCATAACGTGTCTCATGGCTACCACGGCTGTCAGAGCATCAGCCTTCCTATTTATAGCCAAGCTGAACAGCTGACATTTAAGTGAATACCGCCATTCCTCCTGGTCTGAAGTCATCTTCTGCCCTGATCCCGCCGGTGAGTGACGCTTCAGCCTGCAGCTCAAACACAATAGCTGCTTTGTGTTGCTGAGATGAGATCGACACAACTCGCTGCTCCCACCACTCTGTTTCCATCTTTAGATTTAAATAAATAACAATAATATTGTGCGGATTCAGACTCTATATCTGCTCATGGACAAACTGGACGACATAGAAGAACATAAACAGAGTCCAACCTAAAACCAAAAGGAGAATGTTTGGGAGCAGCCTAGACTTGCCTGGTCACCCAAGGAATTATTACGTCATATGGGAAGAGAAAATATCTTGCACTGACACCCTCTGTACTGAAGGCCGTTTGCATGACTTTATATTATTAAACCACAACAAGGTCTGGGAAAACTGACCTGAGCAATTATTTTTTCAATTAAAAGAAATAGAGTGTACCTGTGCCAGTGCTCCCGAGTGGACAAGAGTCAGATCTGGCATCCACTCACATCCTGGGACCAACAGCCCATAGAGAGTAATGATGTAGTACGGACCAGAGTACATCAAGCTCACCAGCATCTGATAAACACAGAAATGGTTCAGAGTTTTAGAGATTTGTGTTATCAGGGTGAAATTTTGGCCACTTTTAGTCACTGAGTTACCTGGATCTTAGGATAAGCTGAAGGGTCTTTCAGGTAAGGTTCATACAGTTGAGTGTAGTCTCGACAACATTGGCTGGAACAGTCCAGAGCGATCTAGAATACAGACAGTCTGAAGTATAAACTCTGTGTTAAGAAGTTTTGTGAAGTGGGCAGTTGATCATCTTGGTGTTTTCTCACCAGGCCTCTGAAGACGCAGAAAGCCAAAGAAGGGACGAGGTAGATAACGAAGAGTAAATCCATTGGTCTGCGGAGTAAACTTTTTCTTTGAGCCTCCTGGATGTTCTGACCGCAAGAAAGAAAGCAGAGAGCTCTCCATCACATTCAGTCTGAATGAACATAGGACAAAAACATTACGCCTGGAGATGAACTTGCAGGTTTTGTTAGTTAGCAGGATAATGCAAGATCTACGATCTAAGCGATTTCCATAACATTTTGTGGAGGGACAGGGAAAAAACCTATTCAATTTTGTTGTGGATCAGAATCAGGGGGCCAATCCAGGATATTTTCCCTGTTTCTTTAACACTGCAAGAGAGAGCTATTTTCTTGATATCGCAGAGATTAATTCATCTTGTTGAAAAAAATAAGGAACGTTTATTGATATCAATTTGCAATTTGGTGCAGATTGAAATAAAAATCCAGATCTGATGAATGTAAATGTGGTTTCATAGGGGGAATGTTGAGCCTTGGTGGAGGTATGCAGTCTACTGAAGGATATTTTAGTTCTTTCATGTTGTTTGCTTTCACTTGACTGTTTAATCATTGAAACAATCCAAAAAATAGAATTTATTTAAACAATTATTTCAGAGTTGCATGACTTACTGTCGTCTGAATGTCCTGTGTAGAGGGTTGGCTGAAGACACGGAAACAGGCCCAGACGGACACTGAGATGTACAACATGTGGAGGAGGAACAGAGGACCAACATGGGTCTCATATTTCCCTGGGAAAGGGCAGAGGCAGGTTATGTGTCATTGTGAGAAAACACAAACCAAAAACCACTAAAAAACTCTGTTTTATTTCTAGTCTACAAAAAAGGAAAGTTTTGGACAGTTGTAGTATTCTCAGGGGGAGTGTGCAAGGAGTGACATGAGCTACCCTACACGAGCCATCTAAAGCGTCCCATTATTTTTAGTGTACTCACCCACAGCATTCCCAAGAATGTAGACAATGGCGCGCATGAGAAAAGATCCCGCCCAGTAGAGTCCAATGGCTCGGAAACTGTCCCTGTACAAACATTGTCAAAGCCGGATGAACACATTATACCTCCAAAGACTCCAGCAGATAGATGGATGAAGTAAAAAATTATGTAAACTTTATTTTAAGTATACAAACAAACATTACAACACATACAAATACTATGGTATTGATGTCAGTATAGTATAAGGGAGATCTGGAGCACATTTTCCCAAGTTTAGTGATGTAGCTTTTTTAAATATCCCCGTGAACAGTGGAGCACACTCACCCCCAAGTAATGGCAGCAATCATGAGCAGATACATGAGATAGTGCACACAGCTGTCCCAATAGGAGATCATGTGCCCATGCGCTGTGTTAATATGTGGATCTGCCTGAAACACGGGGCAGATTTATCAGTGACAATGTGGAGAGAAGCGTTCACAAACTGGACCCACACACACGCGACACAACGACTTGCCTCTTTGAGATAAAACGTCACAAATCCATCAATGATGTTGTCCTGCTCCAGCCCAATGATCAGATTCACCACACTGAGGAATGCAAACACAGCAAACACTGCACAGACACATGCATGCACTTTCATTAACTTGGACAATTTGGAGTAAATAAAGTGGCTGACTCCTAATCCTGGGGGTGCAAATTTCTATCTGATATGGACACAATGCAAATATAATACACCATGTATCACTTTAATAGCTCAAGATTTTCAAACAGCTCACGCCACAATAACTTCTAAACAACATAAATATGCAGCTAGTTGATTCAAAAGTCCATCAGAACCTCATGATTTCTATCTCATGACTTGGTATAAAAGTAATATTCCTCTGTACAAATTAATAGTACAACAAGAAGCATGCATCTGATAAGTCATACCATAGAAAAGAGGATCTGTGGGAGCTTTCTTCTTGATCATAAAATGAACTGAAATTGCCAGGATGAGGACTGTGGTACACCCAGCGAAGAAGAAAGCGTCAGCACTAAATGCAAAGTTAAAAAAAAAAGATATTCTTAAATATCTGACAAATCATTTTCAAATGAAAGACTTCTAGTTACTGCTCCACTGGTGAGAACAGTATTTACAGTATTAATATAATGAAGAAGCTGCTCTCACCTGTTGCTGTAAATGAAGGAGTTGAACAAATAGCAGGTGGGGATGGACATCAAGGAGAGGACAAACACCCCCGTCCCTGCAGACGCACTCATGGCCGAACAGCTTTCAGAGATTTCTGTTATCCAAGAATTTAGAATTGAATAAAAAAAGTCATTCACAAAAAAGAATTTGGTGTTAAGTCATGTTTCAAAGAAAGAGGACAAGCTCAGATGGTGTCAGTGTGAACAAGGTCCACATCATGTCAGCTGCAGACTGAGAGAATATGTTCTGAATAAGCTCTGTCTTCTTCTTCTGGACTTTCTYGCTTTYWCACCCTCTCWCCWYCACTCTGCCYTC